GTCTCCGATTATAACTATCATATATTGTCTGGGTTGAACTTTATTGTTGTGATTCCATAACAACATTTAAGAATATTAATATTCTTTCATTTTTATTGGTAGTTATAATACAATTTAGGATGGGTTAAGTAGATATTTACTAAAATATTTAAAATCTAATAGAATACGATTGTTAATTTTGTCTTGATTGAAATAAAAACACTATTCATAATTTAAATTGACAAATGTCTATGATAAAATATAGATCAACAAGATATTTACAATCATAGGATGACGAAACAACAGAAGGAAGCGAAACAGAAAATAACACTAGGGCAAACACTATGCGGTATCTGTTTCGATGACAGTAACCATACGGGTTTTTCTGTATTTCCTTTTAATATTCACTATTGTTGCATACTGACATAGTTTGTATAAGGTAACACGAGCAGTTTCTTTTATAATCCATGTATATGAATGGAAGGCTTTACCGTGTACTAAACTATACAAATTTGGTAACCTAAAGACTGATTGCATTATTTATGTATTGAGTTTTCGAAAGAAGTTACATATTCTATTTCTATCCTGATAAATTCAACTGAATAGTCTGCTTAACGTGAAAATAGGTGAGTTTCAAAGATACAACCGTATTCTTTTAAATATCCTATAATTTACTCTTCACAAATATATACATAATGTAAATACTCATTCAACAATAACTTCGAAAAGTTAGTCAAACATAATTACATGGAATTTTTCATAATCATCCAATGATTACATGAAGTCTTGGTTCAGTAAGGGAAATTTATTGAATTGAGTGATAAATTTGAGTACAGAAGTGTTCATTTACTTAACTCCAACTAATAAGGAACAAAAAGATGATTTATGACTATGCATAAGACTGTATTTGTTTAATTCTAATGATATATATGCATGCTGAAATAATAATCCAGTATCTTCACATTAATGTCTTCCTTGAAGTGTCTTTCCATAACATTTGAAATTTAATGTGTAAAATTATGTAAACTGTGTCTACAATTTTAGATCATTTATTTCCTATAATAATAATTACTTGACTGTCAATAAGGGGTTATGGAGATTGTTGAATTTCATTGAATTCATAAACCGATCTAAGTTAGACTACTATTAAAGGCCTGGAAGCACTGGATGATTTTCGATGGTATTCTAACTTAGATTGGTTTATCGTTTCAATGAAATTATTTGATTTATGAAACATGACTACTAGTTCAAAGTCCTATTGCTAACTATTAGATAAAAAAGACATAATTCCTTATTTTGATTTCACTTTTATACTAGGATAATAAGTTCTCTTTATTTCGATTCCCTCTGAAATAAATTAAGTGCATAGAATATTTGATTGATTAACGGTCAGATTACCAATGTCAACTCTGAACAATCAACTTCAAAATCAAAGTGTGAACGTTTGTTCTAGTTCAGAGGAAATCTAGTTTTAAATGAAATATGTTGAAGCATTTTATACAATTTAGATTACTATGTTAATAGATTAGTATGTTAAATATTACTATGAACAGTTCTCTTACTTTTAGCCATCATAACACCTTTATGGTATGAATTTTTCCATAATGAATCATAATTTAATTAAAAGGAATCCTCTTAAAATGATTAAATCTAATATATTTAATTTATAAACGTATATTGATTAGCGGTGAGTAACTAGTGTATCTGGGATACAACAATATTAAATTTTATATCTACTTCTATACAGTTCAAACTCCTATTTAAAAAATAAAATTCTTAGATTTTCATAGAGTTCAAAGTTTCAGTTTACGAGCATAACCGTTTGCAATGTAAAATATGGAGTAAGCTGACCAAGTTTTAATGCAACAAACTGATTTATTGATAGAAAATTCAATAAATTTTTTCACTGTACAAAAAGTAAGGAACTACACAGGTAACATTGATTTAAAAAGGGAATATATATATTCATTGCATTAATGATTCCGTGTGCTTTCCTATTGTTCCGATGCTGCCAATTCTCTCTGTGACACTTTTAACTGATGATAATAAACGTTTTCTCAAAGGAGCTGTACTGAAAATGAGAATACAAGGATTTAACGTACATCCCAACAATATAAGACATGTACCCATTTGTTCAATCGGAGTACCATAAGTGTAAACCACAACTTCACATATGATTAATATTTGACTTATGCATTCAAATGAGTGTAATATAGCTAGTTGACATGACATAATTGTTGTTGTGATAACTAACTGAGCAATTTTCTTCTGTATCTGTAAAGTAGCTTCAAAATTCTGTGTTGTGAAACTTTTATGAGAAGACCTAGATATTTTTAATACATGTATGATCCATGCATGGCTAAATAATGTGACCAAAACTGGAACAAAATAAGAAAACACAACCCATGAATACACAATATAATCAAGAAATACTCTCGTTTGAATCCAAGGGAATGAAAAATCCATAACACATTGACCATCGGTATAACGACGAAGAAGTGGTGTAGGTATGTACAAAATTAAAAGCATACTGAGCATGTAAAGAAAGTATAGTACGAAAAGTCTATTCGTATACGTTTTGAATGATCCAAGAAATAGGACAGAACTCGCTCGATCCAATGATATACAAACTAGATTTTGCACACTTAAGACACATGGCAACCAGAATAATCCATTTCTAAACCAAAAATGACACATTATGACATCAATAATATATATTCCAGTTCCGTTATTGATAGGTGATATCGATTGAATCATATAGTACATTGCTGTTGAGAAACATGCACTTAAATCATATATTGGCTGTGCTCTAAATACAAATGTAGTAAATTTTGAACCGAAATGTGAAGTGAACACAACAGTGATGGCCAAAATATTTAATATTATACCAAATATTCCTTCAGTTGTAATAATAATCCGAATAGGTAAGCTAATGTAAATAGTCCCATTCATTGTTTAAAGCTGTTTACGTTGTTTACTGTTTATTAAAATAAAGATAGAAATATAAAATAAAAGATTGATTTACATTTGAATAAGTGTATAACTTGATATTGGACAAACTATACTCAATCTTGTATATTTAATAGTTTTAATAACCAATCAGAACTTCATGTATAATAATTTGAATGGTGGATGAAATATTGTATGGATACCAAATATACAATACAAATCAGTGGCAAATTTGGATAGTGCAATAAGGGGAAAAACTACGCTTGTAGCTCTTCTAGGGTTTCTGATAGTCCCAAGATCGGATAAAGGAGGAGTGTTGGGAATGGGGTCAGCAACCCCATCTCGAAGAAAAATAACCTTGTTGGAAAAAACATTAACCAGAACAAACAATTCAAAAAATTCAATCTCTTCCCTCCGAATTGAGGGATCTTCATTTAGAAGAATTATGACGCCTTATAGTGTAAGCTAAGATTCTTAGGAAGTCACGAGACCGATGTCCATTCTAACAAATAGAGCGACAATTAATATAGGTACATGGAACGTTCGGACAATGTGAAAGACAGAGAGGACCAGTCAAACAGCTACGGAAATGAGAAGATACAACACGAAGGTGCTCGGAATCAGCGAAACACATTGGAATAAAGCTGAACAGAAAAGATCGGCTTCGAGAGAGATTCAGTTGTACTCTGGTTATGAAGAAGAAAATTCCTTACACACAAATAGAGTTGCACTGATGCTATCCTAAACGTTACCTCAGGAATGCTTTTCACTAACTTCATTGGTTGACTGAAGAAAATAGAGTGGTTAAGCTCACAGACCGCCTCATTTGTCTTGAAACTTTTACTAGTTAGTGAGTTACTAAGAAATATCATGCTATTATGTAACGATTCGATTTAAATCTTGAAATCGGCTTTACAACCTATACTTCATTCTTGATCACAATTTTTTTCTAAGTTTTATGAAACTCCACAAAACCCCTTCTGATACAAACAAATAAAGTTAAAATTTATGATAGAAATAACTATTATTATACACTAATTAATTATGATTCCTATAAAAAGAAATTCAATCTAATTTATATACTTAACTAATGATTTATCATGTAGTTAAAAATGAATATGTCTAGATTTCAAATTTCGGAAGGAAAAAATAATTGAGTTAATAATAATTATGATAATGGAAATTCCAATTTCACTTAATATAAATTATGTGTATACATTCGTGCTAATTTGAGAGTATTTGCCAAATGAAACTAATGTACATAGGTGAAGTAAAATCAATGAAAAATAGAATAAATAGACAAACAAACAAGAAAATCAAATTGAAAAGACATTCTGCAGTGATAAACAACAGAAACTCCTACTTGGTTCTAAATACTTCTAAATGCTTAATTACATTTTTTTTGTGTTTGCCTCCTAGTCTTTCATTTCTTTTAATCCCAAAAACTACTTCAACTTTACAATTTCAAATTTCATTGTAAAATAATCAGCTCTGATTCGGAAGAGAGAGAGGACATCGATTAGCACTAAATTAGTTTATCCCTGTTTACTTATAGTTTGTCTGATATTAAAATAAAGAATATTAGTAAATGGAAAAAATTATTTTATTTTTGTAAATATTTTCATTGTTTTATAAAATCAAAAAAAAAAATGATCCCTATCAGTTCACTATTGACTATTATTCATTTAAATAGGAATTTGAATATTTATTTTGATAAACATTTGTTCATATGATCAAAATGAGCCATAGAACAATGAAAACAATAAAAAATATCTCCATATATAGTTTATAAATAATCAACACTTTGAATGATCCACTGGCTAGACAATATTTCATAATACATTAGACTATTCTAAGCGTAGATCTGATTGGTTATAAAAACTATGATATATATATATATATATATATATATATATATATATATATATATATATATATATATATATATATATAAACTTAGGAAGTAGTTTACCAAATGTCCAGTTTTCAACTTGTTTAACGTAACAATCTATTTCAACAAACCCTAACACCTTATTACTCCATATTCATTATAACAGAAGAAAAATTAAACAATGAATAATACCATTGATTTTGCCTTACCTACTCAAATTATTATTACAACTGAAGGAATATTTGGCACAATATTCAATATTGTGGCCATCACTGTTGTGTTCACTTCACATTTCGGTTCAAAATTTACTGCATTTGTATTTAGAGCACAACCAATATTTGATTTAAGTGCATGTTTCACAACAACAATCTATCATATCATTCAATTTACTAAAGGTTATGACAAACCTACAGGATTATATATTATTGATATAATTTTATGCCGTTTTTGGTTTCAGAATTCACTGTTCTGGTTGCCATGTATTTTAAGTGTGCAAAATCTAGTTTGTATATCATTGGACCGAGTGAGTTCTGTCATATTTCTTAGATCACCTAGATCATATACGAAAAAATTCTTTATAATATACTTTGTATATATGCTTTCTATGGTTTTGATTTTATACATCCCTACACCAATTCTTCGTCGATTTACTGATAATCAATGTGTAATGGATTTTACTGTTCCATGGATGGATACAAATACATTTGTTGAGTATTTTGTATATTCCTGGGTTATATTTGCCTATTGTATACCCGTTCTAGTCATGCTCGTCAGTCATGCTTGGGTAATACATACTTTAAGAGAACATAACTCATCTCGTCATTTTTTATCACGTGATGTGCAGTCTAATTTAACCATTAAACGTAGAATAAGTCAACTTGTAATCACAACGTCAATTTTGTCTATTCAGCAAACTGTTTTACACTTTTTTGAATGTATAAGTCAAATATTGGAAGTAACCGGAATTTTTCGATATAGCTTTGACAGTCCGATTGAACAAATGAGTACATTACTTATATTACTGGGAAATATGTCAAATCCATGTATTCTTGTTTTTAGTACAGTTGTATTAAGAAGACGTTTGTCATCATTACTCAAAAGCCTAACAGAAAAAATAGCCAATATTACAAAAACCAAGCTACAATTAAATTGATCAACACAACAAACACATTCGTATTATGCATTTCAAAGGAATATATAATAATATTGTGCTGTTTTGTATAATGAGTTAAAAAAAAATTCACTTCACATTTTACACTTATTTAGATGAATGTATTATTTTTGAAATTTATTTATCCTCTACAATAGTCAGTCTACAACTAGCTAACTATTTACTCATTTATTTATCGATCACCAGTATGATTCTTTACCAACTGTCGTAATAAAAAGAGATATTCTATCATCCTTTAGATCCGTAGTCAAATACTACACATCAAAATATTTAAATTATAATGTTTGATTTTATGCAAAAATCGTTTCAAAATTAATTTGCAATTAAATAAAATACTTTATTGTGTTGTGTAGTGCCAGTGAAATGTCACGATGCCCTAGCCAAATCATACAGCAGTCAGGTCACTGAATATCGAATAGATCACCGATCCTTGTTAAGTTCAGGGACAACTGACGCTCATCAATTAATCACACACCATGGACTAATCCATACTACGGTGGCCAAAACTTCTTCAGAGTACTTACTTTTACCAATACATTTCTGTAAAGACGTCCCTCGTGTCATACGGTCTTCGAAGCAGTTATAGTACCTTGATACGACGAAAGTGTAATCCACATTTAGTGCTGACCGTGAAGTGTCACTTCGAAGTTGGCTGGTTCATCACACCATTCCCGTCTAACTCGAGTAGGCCCTCAATCACTCGACATAGATCATCTGCGTTGGTGATATACACTGGTCAGCAAGATTTCGAATAACGCAACCTATTAAAATATAATTTCTATTATCGCATCTTATAATCATTCCTTTTCGTTTTTATCGTCTTCTAAGTCAACCAATTACTGTGAACATTCGTTGCATCATATAAATAGTGGTTAGTATTTAAACTGAAATAATTAGCTCAACCGATAGAACCAACTATTCAACTACGATTGTAATCGGCTATCATGGCTCTTTAACAAGCATTAGCAACATGTTAATGCTCCTGTGTAATATGTCTGTTAAAATATCAACCACTCGTAAGTATAGCCACATAGCAACACAGACACACATTTGTTTGTAACCCATCCACTGGTGTAAGAGAGACAAGATTAACTGCCGATTATAAATTCATCTTTCTGCCTAATCACTACCAACTATCTTCCGCCACAAACTATCTACTACAATGTTTTGCTTACTTGACCGCTGCCTGCTTAATTTCCAATTCTTGAGTTCCATGGTCAAATAGAGGATGCAAATGTTATAAATTTACGGTGAGTTTGAATTATAGATTTCCTATAATCTTAGATCTTGTTTAGATTGTCCGTCAAGCAATGCTACGTATATGATTGAAATCACTTTCCAACCCATACAAATTCAGTATACAACCCTGTGTTAATCCAAGAGTTTAATTAACAGCACCTCGTGTATAATCCGAATTCGAACTAATATCTACTTAACGTTCTCATTACTTGGAAGTGAAAGAAACCCAGGCGAGGCATTAGATAATTTCATACTGCGTTTATGATGGCTAATAACATTTCATGGTTGCTTTCACACAGGGTAAATAAACATTCTGTCGCTGCCGTGAAGTTTTAGTCGAAATCATGTATATCTATGGCTCGTAAGTCGACATACTGTGGAAAAGCGTATTGCACGTACACGAGCAATCAGTCCATGTTCTAACTAGACGCTTTGTCGTGCGTAATATGTCACTTAACACAAGATAATAAGCTTTTGCATTAGTCTTTTACGAAATGGTCACGTTATCTGAACCTTCTAAACTTTAGTTACATTGGCGGTCACCATTTTTACTTATATTTACTATGCGCTTTGTATTTGCCGTTATCTGACACATAAACCGTGGCTACACTTCCGTATTACACGAAAGTCATCTCAATTCCGTTTTCAGTTTATTTACATGTAATACGGGTTTGGAAAATGTCTATACGACCTCTGAAATTCTCCACGAATCCCACCATAATCTTCGTATATGTTTTTATCCACACATCCAACTGTTACACTAATCATACTCAAATGAACATTCAGTGCAACTGTCAGTATACGTAAGAACGATGTTATTTCGATGTGACGTTATAACACACCCGAACTATTGTAGTCATTCAACTTCGACGTCTTATTTTATTTGACGAGGTATTGTTTCCTCGTATCTGTTACCTAACAGATGAGTTCGGTACATTAATCGCTCTCAATCATTCGACACAGAAGATCATCTATGTTAGTGATCTACAATTATATTTGCGTAACTATTAAGTCTAATCCTAAAAATAAAAAACATTCATAAATATTTACGATATGAGAAAAGAACAAAAACATATAAAATAGAAATGAAATATTAAGATTTATATTTCATGAAACAAATTACAAATGAAATATTTTTAAAAAAATTAATACAGTTTGTTTCCAGTCACTTTACTTTTAACAACATACTATTTTTTTTTAATTTTCAAATATTTTTTTCCTTTTCATTTCAATAATAATCTCTTTTTTTTTTTACAAAAAATCATCCTTTAACAGATTTTTATTTTCATTATTGAATATTGTAATTAATACATGTTGATATTTCAATATTCATTAGTAATAAGAATAAAAACCAATGAAAAACATTGGTTATACCTTATTTAACAAAATTTAATTGTTTTGTGTCAGATGGGGTTTTGTGGAGATTATAGTAATTTCAATAGTTAAGATCATGAGTCGATTGAAAATAGACTACCATGGAAAACCTGGAAGAACTGGACGGCCGTTCCGTCCTATTGTGAGACTCGTCAGCAGTGCGCATTCACGACCGCTACTAGCTGGATTCGAACCAAGGACCTATCGGTCTCACGCGTGAACGCCTAACCTCTAGACCACTGAGCCATCATCCAACGGTGTTAATGTTCAACTCCAACTAATCCACGAAATTGAGCGACACATTCACAGTTTTCATTAGTGAGTTACTATCTCACAACAGACTCGGTTGAACTCCACCGGTCACTACTCCTGTTTGTTAATTATACATGTATATGTATGTTGTTTAATAGAAATATATTTAGATAGATTTTAAAGCGTTGAATCAAATGAAATGGTAGTAATGAGCAATAAACATGTCACAAGACTTACTATATTTTTAAACTAGTTTTATTTAGATTCACTTGGTACTGTTTACATGAATCTTCTCATTCATGTTTAAGACTGCAATTGATCAGTCTCTTATTGGCATATGTGCATACTGTACGTAATGCCTCAATGTTGCCTTAATTAACAAGCATTCTAAGCAAACGTGAATAGTGGCTAGCAGTGGAATTCAGTTTGATGCGCGTTTCGTCCTATTTAGGACTCGACAGCTGAATGTACCAGCATCTCAGAGTAAATGTTCAATATGGGACTCGGACCCAGCACCATTCGCTTCTCACCTAGAATATTCTTCTAAAGTATAAAAATCAGTACCGGAATAAAATTTGTTAGAGATATACACATCTATTATACTAAAGTAAGCATCGCTTACTAGAGAAATGTGAAGTGTGTAGTTTTGAAAGATATTCACAGTTATTCATCTTGAATAAACATTGTGTGACCTTTCTTCTGATCTGATGAAACTGTTCATTACTTTTTATGATTAAAACTCTATCAAGTTTATTTATCTCTCATACTTACAATCAGTAGTGTGTTGTGTATGAATCTGTGAAGATTAATCATTTTCCTCGGTAGATATGATTACGTTATAGACATGACTATAATTTATGGACGAGCCAATCAAAGTGTTTTGGGGATTTCAAGGTCACGGTTTCAATTTAAGTACCTGATGCTCAAATACGACCGGTTGTCAGAGGATTTGAGAGAAAACGTGATAATTGAGCGGCTACAATAAATTGGAATACCAAGACATCTTTATTTGTGATTGTGGTAATCAGGTGACTTGTGGAACTAGTGCAGACTACCGTGATTATGTTACCTTTCGATGTGATGTGTTGGAGGAAGAAGTCTGCTAGAATAGGATTTTTTCCCTCAATCCAGATTGAGATTAAGGCAAATCATGACAATTGTTGCGAACTGGATAAAAGGAGCACCAGTAACATTGGCTGCAGCCAGGTACTACAATATATACAGATGATTAGAGAGCGTACGGATGACTACACAGACTTGGTTATGTGCATCGTGTCGTCATCCACACACGACATTTTGTGGACAGAACAATCGGGGTGCACACAAACAATATTGAAGCTATGTGATCGAAGCTGAAAGAGTTTTTGCGACCTTATCATGGCTCCAGAGGTCGACTATTATGGAGCCATATGGATGATTTCCTCTACCGTATGCATTACGATTTTAGAACCTCTGAGCCTCTTTCTGACCTTAACAAGTTTTTGAACCATGTAAAAAAAGTGTATCCACTTTAATCTTTGGTTTTGTATGATCTACTTTTACCCTATGCTAACTGTTTTCTGATTGGCCAATAATTCTCAAGGTCACTTAAGACTTGTTCAAAGGTCGTCCATAAATTATAGTCTCACCACGTTATGTTATTTTCTGAAAATAAGTAATAGGTAATTTTGTTTACTTGGATAGCTTCAACACAACGATCACAAATCGTTAACCATATCAGTGATATATTTTTCTGTTTTCCTCACATTTTAATATTCTCTTATTTGATCAATTATCTGATTTCATATATTGAAATATGTACTATACGTTTATTCAATATTTAACATCCCAACTATTGTTATTCATCATTCTAAATAACTGTAAACTGAAGTATATATAATCTGTTTATATTCATCATATTACTCTCTTTAAAAAATACATCAATCATATTTTTAATAGACTATAGTCGCTTTCTATTTAATTGTTTACAACAAATTGTCCTTTAAAAATTAATATTCAACTCATGTATAATCATATAATCTATTGTTTTCAATAGCAAAATAATTAACTAGAGAAAGAACTTATTTTCGAATATGGAAAAACATATTATCGGAGAAGGTCATCCAGATTTATCACTG